GCCTGCAGCATGCCAGCAGCAGTCAATGTGGTGACACTTTAATGGTAAAGCATTCATCTGGGAAGGAGGCAGGGCTCACCTGTGATTATTCTGTGTCCATGACAAAGGACACTGCACAAATGCTAGAAATCTGGATGCTCATGAATAAGAACACTAAAACCCACATTCATCAGGGGCAAGAGGTCTTTAGCAATCACGAGACCCACAGTGGCGCAGCAAAACTAAAGAAAGGAAAGATTATTCAGGCAAATGTAGCTCACAGCAGAGAAATGTCCTTGAGTTATTGGAAGAACAATATCCCTGACAAAACCATCTGCCATTTTCCTTAATTTCCTCTGCAGCTGAAGCTAGGCTGCCCTCAGCTGAATGTACCGTGTTTCTGGATTGGCATGTACAGGCCACAGGAACTGGCAGGGAGGAGAAGAAGGTAAGGGAACATGACTGGAGAGAAGGCGGGGGGCAGAAAGCAAATCAAGATGAGAGAGAATGGGCTACAATCAGGAAGGAAGCAAGCTGGTAGGAGATGAAGCAGAGAGCCAAAAATGGAAGAAGAAATGTGCCAGTCTAACAGCTTACTGCTGCCAAGGGACTGGTTCTGCCTCTCAGATGTCCACTTCAGGTAGCACTTCTTCCTCCTTTCCACCCACTGTGGTACTCAGCTTTGTCTCAGTGAGGTAGTTCAGCTCACCAAGCCATAGTAAAACCAGCCTTTCTTCTTTTTCATTTTTTTTTTTCCCTAATCTCTTTCTCTCCCCTTCCTGCCCCAGCTAAGTCTGCTCTTGGCTGGACCACTGGGCTCAAACAGAGCAAGGTGATTTCACACGAGCCAGGATTCAAGGCAGTGGATGCAGGACTGCCATCTTCCTGACCACACAGATTGGTTCAGTTCCCCCCCATGAAGCTTCACCCTGAGCACAGCCAACCCATCCTCAGGCAGCTGCAGGCACATTTGTCTGCACATTGAATCTGTACTGAATTCTCATCCAATCTGAGGAAGGAAGGGTAGATGGTCATTGGCCTGAAGTCTAAGAAAAGCTCTTAAGGAGGCAATATTGCGTTTAACAGATCTTTCCTTATTAAATCTCACAATTCAGAGGGTCTAAATCAATCTAATGCTGCAATTGCTGTGAATTAGCGTGGCTAAAGAAAATTCAATCACAGACTCTGAAATTTTATTTGATCCTTTCAATCACATCATGGTTGAACACAAAGTTATTTAACAAAAGAAAGCTGTTCAGTAAAAAGTGCTATTGTTACATATGTGGATACATTTGTCATATTGTTATTACAAGATTCTTTTCAGGTTCTGACCTCACAAGCATTTTAATCTCATCCTTTGAGCATTAACCAGCAGTTTTGCAGTTACAGGCCAATGCTTCTATGCCAGAGTGGACACATGTAAGCATATTCCAGCTGCTGTTAGAACAACTTCTGGTGTTACAAGGATTCACATAGCCAGAAAACCTGAATTAAATGTATCCTTAACTACTCTATCCTTTAGGTACTGTTAAGTGTTGAATTCAAAAGAGGGCTGCAAAACCAGCTTCATCTCAATAAAACCCTGTCTTACAGAGAGACTGGTCAGCAAAATAGAATGAAATAGTTCAAAGAAAAGGCCAGAGGAGATCTTGCCATGATACATGAGTAATTGTACAGGAAGAGTTTTCTGATAGACTATCCTTTGTGCCTGCAGTGGCAGAGCAAGATTCAGTGGTGTCCTGGGTTCAGCAGTAGCAGTCATGTTTCTCCTTCGTGGTAGCTGGTGCAGTGCTGTGTTTTGACTTCCAGCATGGGAACAGTGCTGGTGATACCGATGTTTTCGGTTGTTGCTAAGTGATGTTTACCCTGACCAAGGACTTTGTGAGGCTCATGCTCTGCCAGGGAGGAGGGGAAGCTGTGAGGAAGCCGAGACGGGGTGCCTGACCCAAGCTAGCCAAACAGGTATTCCATACCACAGCACGTCATGCCCAGGGTGGGGGGTAACTGGGAGTTACCCGGAAGGACACGGGCTTCCAGGTGGGACTCGTTTCTTGGCTGATGGTATCGTATTCTCTTCCCTTGTTATTTTCTCTTATCATTGCTGTCGTTGGTGGTAGCGGTGGTGATTTGTGTTGTACATCGGTTGCTGGACTGTTCTTGTCTCAACCCATGGGAGTTGCACTCTTTCGATCCTCCTCCCCATCCCTCACGGGAGCGGGGAAGGGGAGAGCCCCGGGGGGGGTGCCTCGATTGCTGTCACTGGAAAGTGAGTGAAGAAGCTGTCTGGCTAGGGTTTAAACCACAACAAGTGGGTGGAAGCTAAAGTTAGAAAATGGCTGTCACTCCTTCCCTCTACCAGAGCATCCCACAGGCATCAGTGTGTGGACTGTGTTTGCAGGAGTCCCCACTGTACCATACCCAGAATACCACAGGGTGGCTGAAAATGGGGCAGAGGAACGTCAACAGCATCTGGTTCATACAGAACCACGAATGGCCCCTAAAGCCTGGATGATCCCAGCTTTGGAGTGCCACTTGAGGACCCCATGCACATCCCCAAGGAGCCATGGCATGAATGTTCTCACACATTTTCATTCCATACTTGACAGAAATGGGCTAGTTCTTTACTTCACAATACATGATTGTTCCTGTCATCCTGATCCACTGGTCTTATAACTGCCATTCTCATCCCTCCGCTTGTCATTCCTCTGTAGTGTTTCCCTGATTCGTGACTCTGGGAAAGAGGCTGGTAGCATTTCACAGGAGATGGACAAGGAATCACAGTGGTAAAACACAAGTCTTCCCTCCACTGGTGAGAGGAAGACAGGATAAAAGAAGATTTGGGATTGTTTCCTTGTTTTTGTAAAGGGATTCTTATAGCATGGCAAGTCAGGGACACCTGTGATAGGTTGACTATCGGCTAGTGACTGTAGTGGCAAGAAAGGGAAGAAGATGAGGATTTAAGGAAGAGAAAAGTTATCTGAAAGACAGGGAAATTAGAAAGGAGAGCGATAAAAGAAGAGCTGTGAATTTCAAGAGGAAGAAGAGGCATGGTTGATGAAAGCTATAACACCTCCTGGAGGCACCTTCACAAGGTATGGTAGATGAAGGGAGACCAATGAGTATTTTCTACCTTATAGTTTAGTAACGCTTTCAACAGTGTCTCCCATAAGATCCTCCTAGAGAAGCTGATGTAGTACAGGCTGGATGAGCAGATGTTTAGGTGGATTAAAAACTGGCCGAATGGCCTGGCCCAGGGGATGGTTGTCAGTGGTAAGAAGTCTAGTTGAGACCGGAAACTAGCAGTATTCCTCAGAAGTCAGTACTGGATCAAGTCATCTCTTCGTTTCAAAGACACTTTTTACCTCAGCAACATAAATTCCTAATTCACTACAATACACCACAACACCAAGCTTTACTACTGATCACCTTGTTAATATGTAAGATGAATGGAATCGAAAAAATATTTTGTAAATTCTGCTAAAAGTCTCCCAAAGTTTCCCAAAGAAGGTAAGAAATTTGACAAGTTTTCATAAAAACAGGCATCAGTCTAGCTGATCTCTCTGTACCATATTCCATTAATAAAATGCATTAAAATGTGCTTTCCTACTCAGCTCAACAGTGTTATCATTGTGGTTTAATGCATTTATACAGCAGCAAGACAGAAATTTGCATTTTATTTCCATTTTAACATGAAAGCCTGAATCAAGGACTGTACTGCTCCCACCGTCTTGTTGCATATTGCTTTCTAGTCTTATCAGAAAACAAGAGACACTTGAGCAGGTATTATGAAGTGCCTCCTGTAAGAGGGAGCATTTTAAAAACTCTCATTCATGTGGTTCTCCCATGAAAAGAGCTTGAGCTGACCCTCAACATTCTTGTAGAAAGGAAAAGATGTTCTTGCTCTCAGAGGCTTTAAGATATCCCTGTATATGGGATCATCTTTGCTTCTTACATTTGTACATCATCTAGCATAACATCAGCACATTTTGAGACAAAGAACTTCAGTAGTGATATAACGTAATCATATTTTGGAGTTAGCAAGGTAGCACTGCCAGAGGGCATTTGGGCATTAGTTTTCCTGCCTTGAGTCTACAGGGAATTTGAGCTGTAAGGGTTTCTGCTGACTGGATCATAATTTATTTTCTTCTTAAAAGAAAAAAAGGAAGCATCCTATCAGTAGAATCTCTGCTTTGTAATTCCAGCCATAAGAGATTCCTTGTGCCTTATTCAGAGAAGTAACCTGGTTAACACAAAGTATGAGACTGCCCTTTTCCTCCCAGATCTTTTTTTAAGCTAGAGTTTGATACAGGAAATGTTTCTGTCACACTAACACTTCTCAGATAAGGAATTTGGGGTTTTTTTCCTTTCCTCTTTCAAGGGTTTGTATCAGCACAATGCTGTGCAGACACAGTGACCGTTACCCCAGCACCTGCAAGGGCCAGTATCCAACTTGACCAGTAACCAGGCCAGAAAAGCTGATGTGCTGGATTTGGCTTGGGTGGAGTTGATTTTCTTTACAGCATCTACTATGGGCTCTGTTTTGGACCTGTGCTGACAACAATGTTGATAATACAGAGGTGTCTTAGCTATTGCTCAGCGGTGCTCACACAGAGTCAAGGCCTTTTCTTCCTCTCACACCACCTCAGAGAGTAGGCTGGGAGGGCACAAGGAGTTGGGAAGGGACACAGGTGGAACAGCTGACTCCCAGCTGACCAAAGGGATATTCCAGGCCATATGGACTCATGCTCAGCATATAAAGCTGGTGGGAGAAGAAGGAAGTTGGGGGGTGATGTTTGAAATGATCCCAAGTTTGAAGTGATCCCAAGTAGCCATTGTGAATGATGGAGCCCTGCTTTCGGAGATGGCTGAACACCTCCCTGCCAGTAGGCAGTGGTGAGTGATGGCCTTGTTTCTCTTTGCTTGTGTGCACAGCTCTTGCTTTACCTATTAAACTGCCTTCATCTCAACCCACAAGTTTTCCCACCTTTACACTTCTGACTCTCCCCCCCCATCCCACTGTGGGGAATAGAGCAAGCACCTGTGTGGGGCTTAGCTGCTGACTGAAGTCAAACCACAACAGCTGACCAGGTTGTTTGACATCCATGGAGCTAAACAAAAACCCCTTTACCTATTCTGTCAATTCAGATGTACAACAAGATACTACAACAGTTATTTTCTAGAGAGTGGATCTCCACTGCAGATTTGGAACCCACAGTTTACTGTTCATGTCCTCAGTACAAGGTATGTAAAGTATTAGAAGTTAGAGATCCAGAAGATTCCCTTTCTGTGTAGGCTAGGTAACTGGAAATTATGTCCCTCTGAAATCACATCTATTACTTTGAAACTTGCACTTTAAATCTGGCATACATTTTCTCTGTTTGTTTTTAATGTATCAAATGTGATAAATCAGTATTTTTAACTCAATGCCTAGTAGTATCATTCGCCCAGGGAAGGCTTTTAACATTCTTTCCAGCCAAGAATAAGGTGAATTTTTGAACCAGGGTTTCAAACCATTCAGAGTACTGACAACAAAGCTGCACATTCTTATTGGTTGGTGAAGCCTACTACAGACAATTTTTGTTGCAGTGACCCACCTAGAGTAATCACAAGGATTTAGTGTTTCTGTGGTCTCTCTAGAGCCAATAATAACTGCAAAATTCTATGTGCTGCCACTACTGAAGTCTCAATAATATAAAAAAATCTTTGAAGTTTGGAAGCTTCTGCTTTGGCCAGCTTTAAATTATTTTGTGTTTTCTTCTTCATTTGTTTGTTTGGGGGTTTTTATTACAACAAACAAGCCATAATTAAAGGTAGAGTTCTGGGGCGCTGCTGCTAGGGGAGACAAGAACTCCATCCTGCTATGTTTGCTGGCATGGACATAACATCCATGTGTACCTGGAAAATTAACAGGTTGAGTGGATTGGATTTTATAGGAGGCCTTACTTCTGTCTCTGTTACTTTCAACTTGTGAGCATGGCCTTTATGTAAAGCCAACAAAAACTCTTTAACAATAGTGTAATGCAAAAGAGCAAAATTCATGACTTCTGCCTACTAAAAATGTACAACTGAAAAATTGTATAGAGTCATTGGCACACAGACAGGAAACAAATTAATGGCAGCCATTAATTCCTGGTGAAAGAACCAAACATGGAAAAATGCTTACCTGAACATGTAGTGAGCTGCTTAATGACCTACATCATAGACTGATTTGTTTTGTAGAAAAGAAATTTTAGCCCCAGATTTGGGCGTCTCATATAAAATACTGAGCTCCATAGAAAATATCGAGTGTGAACTCAGTCAAACCGAGAAATAATTTTCCTGCCCTGCCACAAATAAACTTTTCTCCTTATATACCTGATTCTCTATTAAATAGTTGAAGATAGAAAAAGCTACGAAAATATCATCTCTTTAGCTTAGTCCCAACCCAGATTTCTTCTGCCCTCTGTGTCATGCAAACTTGATCATTACATGAAATCAAATGCAAAGTTTCACTTACTTGGTCTCAGGCAAACATATCAAACTTTTTTTCCTCAGAGCTCATTAACACTTTCTTGCTTTTCAATGCGAAGATACTGACGGATGAAGTATACCTATGATCCAGACTAAAACCAGAATTTGCTTTGGCATCTGGGAAAACGCCCCAGCCATCTGTCTGGAATTTTTCACATTTTCTCTTCTCTCTCCTTTTCTGCTGTAAGAAATCTCACTTTTAGGAATCACATTATAGAGAAGCAACAGGTTTAGGTGTTCCAGCCCTACAGCAGCTTTGGAGCCTGGTTCTTCCCTCACAGAGACATCGCTCTGGCCTTGCAGGTAGGTATTTATATCTGTTAGTAAGACAAAGCATACCAGCACCTCTAACAACAGCATTTCTTACAGTTACTTTAAACCTTCTCATTTGCTGTCCTTCACATCTTACGCCTGTTCCAAACCCCTATTGGAAATACCTGAATCTCTACTTTTGTGTATGGCGATTACTGGCTTCTAAGCTAGAGGTGTCAGTGCCAGTCCAGGAGCCAAGCAAGGGACTGAAATAGTGGGAGTGTCACCATTGCATAAGCAAACTCTGAGAGCCTGTGGTTCTGAACTGGGTGTTTGCTAGACAGTGCTACCAACACATTTGCACAAGTTTATGTAGGTAGAAATAAAAACAAACATTTCATGGGATAAGACATATGATCTAACCCTAAAATAGTTTATTCTTAAAAACAAAGAGACAGTAAATTAATTCTCTTACTTTGTGGCCAGAGTCAGGATGTCTATCAATGAAAAAATAGAAATGGCATTCAGAGCCAATCTAACATTTTGCTGCTATGAAATCATAAAAAATATACTTCATGTACTTGGCTGCTCTCAAAATATATGGGATGAACACTACAGAGAAGATGAGGAGCCTTTCCTTCAAGGATGAGAAATGAGTTTGTGAATGACTGATGATCTAAGAGGAACACACAGTTCATAGTATGCTAACTTTTTACAATTTACTTGCATTTGCAAAGTCCTTTTTGTTATCATAGAAAGACAAATCCCAGGATCTTCATTGTTCCAAAGTCTGTCTTTTTCCAGTTGCTTGTGCTTTATTTGGCCTCATGACCTACTGTAAGGAGAGAAACTCATCACAATCTCTCCAACTTCCATGTAAGATGCAATCTTTAATGCTATTCTATGCATGAAGACATGGAGAACTTGTGAGTAAAGCTTGAATGTGTAACACCTAGGTCCTTTTTGTTTTCCAGAATTATAAAATAAAGTAATGACTATTTGCCAAAAATCTCAGCCATCCCACTATTAAGCTTCTTGCTGTCCATAATCCTGACTTCTGAGAAAGAAGTCCTGCCTCAGAACACAGGAGGTGAATGTCATGGTAAATGTAACAGGCATACTCTAGTCCAGACTTTGTGCCACACAGTAAGTTGCTTAATTGGATTCTCAAAAAAAAGAAAGGGGTTTACTTTTTATATGGTCCCAGAAATTACTAGTATTTCAGGCAGAAATCCTTTCAGACTGGCACAACTCTTAATGATAGATGTTTGAGTCTGAACTCAGCTGAAACCAGTGGTTAATGCTGTAACAGCATTACCAGGAGTGGGAAAAGAGTTAGAGATCGCGTGTTTGCATGAAAAATACACGACTGAATGTATTAATTAGAAGCAGAAACAAGAAAGAATTCAGAATGAACAGAATGGCCTTATTTATGGAGACAACTTAACTTGCTTTCAAATTCCTTGAAGTACCTTTAACCCTGCTTCTCAGCAGAGACCACTTTTTTTCTCATGTACATACAAAAGATGGTTCATGCCAGAAAACCGTCCACTGTGTGGTAAAGCTTAAAGAATGAAAACCTGTATGCTGTGTATGTGAACACAGCAAGCAACTTTATGAGCAGCATGGCAAGTCCGTTCAGAGAGAGCCTGTCCTGACATCTCATCTATGCTTTCTTGTAAAAAGCCTTCAAGAAAAGGAACAATTCCGAGTACTACCCACACCCACAAACAGATGTAGAAGTGGAAAGCTATTGCAGCAATTAGCTATGATAAACTCTCCAGAGATATTTTGTAACCCACAATTTGCCAGGATAATCCCAGCCACGTAGTTTGTCTCCCATGAAAACACTTTGACCTCAGATTTCTTTCTTGGAGTACACAGCAGATTTTTCCCAGGTCCCTCCCTTGGGCATTCAGCGGAACAAGGCTCTGTTTACTAGTGTTTCAGCCACTCCAAGTATAATATGAGAGTGCTAGAAATGTAATGTTATTTCAGGTTTACAAACTTAAATTAATGGTACAATTGCTGGCATGTGATTAAAATAATGTAAAAACTTCCAAGGAATGTTACCAGATACTGAAACTCAATTTCTTGGAGATTTTCAGGAAAGGTTCCTTCATAGAAAAGTCTCCATTTTAAGTTTACAATAGTCACATTTTGAACAGTCTCAGATTTGTTGGAGTTCCATCCAAGGCAACTCTCAGGTATATATCAGAGCAGAAGCCCTGATTCTCTGTAAATAAACATCATATAGTAGCATGCATTATAGCATGTTACCTTTAGTCCTATAAATAGAAGACATGGAACTTGCTAGTTCAGCAACTCATATTCTGATAATAACACTTCAACAGTTTTCTGATTTTATGATGCCTTCAAAATTATGAAATTGATGCAAAATACTTTTTGCTAAGAGTTCTTGGGCAATAGCTGAACCCTGAAAAGTTTCCCAGAAATCTCCTTCTGACCCTCGATTTATTGTTATCTCAAAACATAGTCTCATACATAGTCAATCAAGCTGATGAGTTTTACGCTACGTCATTTTCTTACTCCAAGCCCTGTGTTCATGAATGAATCACACATTAGCACAAATCTTGGTTTTAAGGACATGGAACTGTTGGAACAAGTCCGGAGGAGGGCCACGAGGATGATCAGGGGGCTGGAGCACCTTCTGTGTGAAGATAGGCTGAGAAAGTTGGGGCTGTTCAGCCTGGAGAAGAGAAGGAGACCTCATAGCAGCCTTCCAGTATCTGAAGGGGGCCTATAGGGATGCTGGGGAGGGACTCTTCATTAGGGACTGTAGTGATAGGACAAGGGGTAATGGGTTAAAACTTAAACAGGGGAAGTTTAGATTAGATGTAACAAAGAAGTTCTTTATTGTAAGGGTGGTGAGGCACTGGAATAGGTTGCCCAGGGAAGTTGTGAATGCTCCGTCCCTGGCAGTGTTCAAGGCCAGGATGGACAGAGCCTTAGGTGACATGGTTTAGTGTGAGGTGTCCCTGCCCATGGCAGGGAGGTTGGAACTAGAGGATCTTAAGGTCCTTTCCAACCCTAACTATTCTATGATTCTATAAAGGTGTTCTGTAGGGCCTATTCTACATGACGAAAGCCATTAGTATAAAATCAAGATCACAGAGTTGGGAATTTTCTTCCTGCAACTGTATTATTTTGCATAGTCCCAAAGCCCATAATTCATGCCAGGGCAAAACTATAAGGGGTGAGCAAAGGAAGAACTAGGTCTACATTATTGTCTTAACAGTATTTCAACACCATAAAACTACTATATTTTTGATAGATACTAAGTGATGCTTATTCCAAGTTGTGTATATGATTCACATGCACAGGAGTTCACAGTATCAACAGCAGTATTGGATTTTAGAAGTTATAAGTAAATCATTCTGATGGAAAACAAAATAACATGATGTCTGACAAACAAGTCCTGGAAAATAAACTACGTGTGTATAACTTGTGAAACAAGGAGGCAACAATCATCTTGTCTGAAACATCTATAATCTTTGTTTAGTGCTTTGTTTGTGTACAGAGGCTACAGACAAACCAAGCGGCCCCTGGGAGGTTAAGGTCATCCTGCTGAAACTCCCTTTCAGGTGAACAGCTAGCCAAAAATGTGATGCATAAGTTCTTCATAGTAATCATGGAAGCTGGGAGTAAGACGGACCTAAATCACCATAAATTGTCCCGCAAGGATAAATTTTAATCATACTGTCATGTTCAGTAACCCAGCCATGCTTTGAATCTGCTTTGGGCCTGATGGAATATGAATATGAATAATAGAACAACAGCAGCTACATTTGCAAGTTGCTGGTCTGCACACAGGATTGTTACCATATGATTTATATCTGCCCAAAGCAAAAAAAAACCAAACCTCTCAACATGGTCAGTGGAATACTCTGGCACATCTCTCTTCATTCCTTACTCCCACTGTATTTCGAAAGGAATTTATCACTGCAGCTACTATTCAATGCGGTGACACTGGAGTGTTTTCTGGACAACAAAGAACTGAAGTAGAAAGCTTTGCCCTTTCCAAAATTCAGAATCTCAGCTAATATTAGGTATATTGTTATATTAAAACTTGAAAACCTGGTAAATCTCCACCTTTGCACTGAGTAGCTTTTATTTAATGTGTAAATCCTAAGGAAACATAACAACACAAGATAAAACCAGAGAGAGATGGAGCATTTGTGATAACTGTCCACAGTGTTATACAGCATGGCTTACTATAATGTAAAAAATCATTTGGGATCTTATCTGGAGTATTTTCTTCATCTGTGCATCTTTCTAAACTGTTCTTCTTACAAACTCCTTTGCTTTCAAGGCTTATTCATCAGGAGAGCTTTTGTTATCTGAAGGCTAAGTAGACAGGAGGGAAAACAAGCCACCCAAGCTATTGTATGTCACCAGACAATGTCTTACTGCCACCTTGTGTTGAGCAAAAAATATGAAAAGCTCGTGTTTCACAGGCATTTAAACCAAATGAATAAAAAGCTGTTCAGAAAATAAACAAGGAAATCTTTTAGGAAGGTGTGTGTGAATACACGAATACATATATGAGATTACAATAATGGTTTAAGAGTTTATAAAAAGAGGAAAGTCTTTTATTTTCATTTCAAATTTGTCTTCACAAGCAAGTGGTAAATGTCCACTAACGGTTAACAGCCTTTTTGCTTTTAAAGCTGCAAAAAGGGCAATTTTTTTTTCTAGGGAAAATTAATGAATATTTATGATTTAATTCCTTGTGCAGGGTTGTTTTTTCTCTCCCCTTTTTTTTTTATATAGTTACATCATGAATAATGAGATTTCTTGAGAAGCTAGAGAGATTTTTTATCTTATTCTTGGGCTTTTTCTCAAACATTACAAACAACACTTTCTACACATACTTTGATACATCCAAATGATGAAAAATTCCTACAGTGTTTTTTCTTCTTAGCAGTTCAGAATAAATCCGCATGCTGCAGACAACTTTCCCACCTACCAAATAAATCATATTCAATGGCAGGATTGGTCCTTGCAGTATAACAACTTACAAAATCATTACTTAAAGAAAATCTGTCCTCCGGTAGTTCCATGGATTAGTTTTCCTTGTGAAGCAACCACTGCACAGCAACACATACACACACGCATGCACAAACTAAGCCAAGAGGAGGCAAACTCTTCTGCAGCATTTGACCTTGCAGACTGATGATTAAAAGAACACAATTAATCAAGTATGTATTAAAGGTGTTAGCATTACTACAGGTTTACTCTTTATATGGTTCCCTCTATGGTTTATTAAACACCATCCTTTATGCTCTAAATCTGTTGTTTTCAACTTGTAGTTTGCAAACCCTTCAAAGTCCTATGGACTATGTCTAATGTGTCTGCAAAACCAAACTTTTAAAGAAAACTCATTTTTAAAAGAGCACGGGTCTTTTCTAGCTAAGTATAAACACAAAGTTTTCTAAGGCTTTAGTTTTCCATTGGTCAAAACTTAAAAATCCACAAACTGAAAGATGTAGGAAAGCGCTGAATTAAAGCTCAGACTTGATCTCAAAACTTTTGGAGATATTCAGAATCACATTTTCTTTAGGACACCACATACTCCTATCTTCAAACCTGTGGAAACCAGTGAACTGTTACTATCAACTTAACTGCTTAGTAGGATTCCAAGCACCAGTTATAAACTTCTCGAGGCCTTTTAAGGTTGTCATGCTACCACGGCCATGGATTTCTTTAGTATGCTAGATAGCATCATTGGACAAGTCTACAGTAAATGAGGAAGTATCTCGGGGTAGTAATATTGATTAGTGAGAAGTGGTCCCACTAATTCCATCATCATCAAAGAGTCCATGTGAGCATTACGGACTGGTACTGGACTACAGGTATATAAGTTTCACCTTCAGACCCAGTATAAAAGAATAGAAGTTCTATGGCTTTGTGCAGCATGATAAATAGATGAAATAGTTACTTAATTTTGCATGGATGATAAAGACTCTTTTCAGATATGTATGACCCTCGCTAATCCCAAGTCATAAAATGAGCTTGGTTAATGCATTTTAAAGCACAATGCTGTGTCTTGAGGGTTCACTGACTTCAGTTACTGCAGTCTGTGCTCAGGGAATTATTTGCAGGGCTGGTGAAAGTACTTATACAGCAATAAAAGAATAATAAAAACCCACCAATAATTATTCAATATGTATAATATGAATTACCACTTAAGTTTTGATGTCTGTGACTAAAACAAGTCTTCCCACTCCCATATTAAACCCTTGCTCATTATAAGAGACCTTTATCTGCTGCTATCATTCCTAACTAGGAAAATCTATGCTTTAGGCAGTCACGGGAACATATTAACAAAGTTTAGTGAGTTGCAAAAGATGTTATGGCACAGGTTGAGAGGCCCAAAACAGGGGATTGCTTCATATCCAAGTAAACAACCCAAGTCACACTAACTGTGACTGCTGGAAAGACAAGATTAAAAAAAAAGGAAAAAGAAAGAAAAGATAGCTCAAAGACAGGAATAGAGATAAAAGCATCCGAAAAGGGGCAAAGCACATTGTTTGTGCCCTAAATCCTCTTTCATGTTAAGAACTTTTCTAAAAGAGTAATTTTCAAACCCTAGGACTCATAGTCTTGAGTGATCTCTTACAGTACCCATGTTGGGCTCCCACTAGCATCCACAGCAATGCTTCTGCTGCCCCAAAGCTTCCCTTCTTCCTAGCCATCTCCGTTTCCTCAAGAATCCTTCAAGCTTTGGCAAGAGAGTCGTATCATCCTGTCTCAGTTCTGCTGGTCGAACAGGTGTTAGAAGGCAGCCCTCCTCTTACTACTGCTGTATTTGTCCTTGCCTTATTCCATTCCATTACACTCCATTCCATTTCTTCCTTTTTTTCCTCTGCTTTTTACCTTCCCCTTTTGTTACAGAAAGAAGCAAGATATACCCCTTTTCCAGTCCCAGAAGTGCTCAAGGTCACTTAAGTCAGAGACCTCTTATGGCTATAAGCAAAAGAGATGCCAGTAAATGAGAGTTTCTCAGACTTTGCTACCCAAGACAGCTTTCATTCTGTCACTCATAGTCTTAGTTAATCATAGGGCTGCTAAATATGTAATATAGTAACATGCTTTTATGAGTCTCGCCCAGTCTACATAACCTACCTAAAGTATACCTTTAGAGAAGTGCCTCGTGGTCTTGTTCTAGATCCTGCAAAATCACACTTGTGGTTAGTATGTCTGCCTCTAACCACAAGGATCTTTGAGGCC